AGGGTTAGGGGTATCAACTGTCCGCATAACAAATGAACCACCGACTGCTTGAAGTCTCCAACTCATACACCATCGCTCTTCTATCGCTTCTTCCCCTTCAGTCTTCACCTCTAACCCCACCTCCGGTACCTGGATTCTCCATACATACATACTCACACACGCACACGCCCGCCTGAGGCAAGGGAGTCGCGGGAGAACGACCCAAAATGGGCATCCTAGACCTCGAACAGCAGCTCATATTCGTGGACCCCCCCCTCTTCCCTACAAGATACCCCCGGTACAATAGCTAACCAAGTACCGAGAACAGTACGGCTCCTACCACCATACGAAAGGCAACATCCTAATCCACCTCATCGGCGTTCCCGCTATAATGGCAACGACATTCCTCTTCGTACATCATCCCCGCTAATTCCTCTACCCTCCCTTCCCACTGCACTGCTGATTGTACCCACCTAGGCAAGCAACTCTCCCCCCCTCCTCCCCCTCCCCTTCTCAGTACCCTACTTTCCCCCAACCCTCGCAACCCTCTCGGCAGTGCTTTATTCAACTCTCTACATCCTTATGGAACCATTCGCCGGGCTCCTCATCACACCTCTAATCCTATTCATGACGGGATTTGTCACACACCTCACCTCGGCCTCTACTTCCCCGGCCACTACGAACACGGTGGCCGGGTACATATTTGTGCTGGCGTGGTTAGCACAGTTCGTGGGGCACGGGGTGTATGAGAAGCGCGCGCCTGCACTTTTCGATAATCTTGTGCAGGCGGTCTTTTTAGCCCCATTTTTTGTTTGGTTTGAGGTGCTGTTTTGGTGTGGGTATAGGCCAGAGCTGCGGATTAGGGTGGAGGAGGGAGTTGTCAGGCGGTTGGAGGCGTTCAAGAGGGAAGGGAAGGAAAGAGAGGGGAAGGGGAAGGGGAAGGGAGAATAATAGGGTTTGGCTTTTTGCAGAAGGGGGGGGGGTCGTGGTTGGGTTGGGAGAAGGAGGGGCTTGCGGTATTCTTGTATTTGGGTGTCTTTTTTTGCCTTCTATGGCCCGAGTTCCAAGCGCGCCACACTTCTGTGGTTGTGTATCCCCTCATTGTTCCGCAGGATCATGAAGTCGTTCTTACCAATTATTCATCCACGAAAGCCCACTGTGCGATTACCGGTATGATACGCCCGAGGACTATCATCAATTAGGCGATTCTAGGTGATCCCAGTGCATAAATAATCACTAAATATGACTTGATACCACGTCTCCTTCTCAGCAGCGGTGCCCCATCATCGCCCGTAAACATCACTATTCTTATCACTCCGGGACCCAGACTGTCGTGGTCGCTGTTGGCCCTACCTACTCGAGTATCCGCCCGTCCGTCCCCCAACATGATACGAGACACGCTACCAACTTCCCCCACTACCGTTTTGATATAATCCCGAAACGCGACGACCGAAATGCGGAAAAGGGCAAAGAAAATATAGCAAAGACATCTCTAAACCAACTAGTTCTACAAACAGATAAAAAAGCGAAAAAACATAAACGTGCTACCCTCAACTCAGTGTCAGCCATCTCTGATTAATCTGTTTCCTCCTCACCTGTAGGAACCCACTGTTAGCATCTAACCCAGACGACTCGACCAGAACAAAGGGAGCGGGGAGGGAAGGAAAACATACCATGGGGGCGACAAACCCAACGCCAACTCCCAACGCCAGAATCGTCCCGAGGAGTTGAATCTTGCTGAACCCCTTACCCAGCACGTCAAACGGCATGCTCGGCGTTACCCTAGTGCCGAACAGGTCCCCACCATAGGCGAAGATTATGCTGGTGCTTTCCAGTTGCGCGGGGGTTGTGACGATGTCTGTGATGCCGAGCAGCTCGCGTTTGTGGTTTAAAACGGATCTGGGGTCGATTTCCAGCGCGGGGGCGTACTTCATCAAGCCCTCCTCTCTCTCCGCCTCGCTGGGATCGTGGCCGACTGGACGGCGGGGGTCAAGTAGGCGTTTTGGCAGGGCAATGATGGATGAAGACCACGGCATCACAGCCAACACTTCGCGGGTGGTGATACCCTGCTTCGTCGCTGTCACCCCAAGAGAGGAAATCTCCGCTGGGAAGATGTAGGAGTGGCTAAGGACATGTGGTCTACCAATCTCCCCCGCGAGGGCAGAGTACGTCTGCGCCGCGGCTAAAGGGCCACGATGATTTGGCGACCGGGACTCGAAAAGCTCGCTGACAACCAGTTGATACCCTTTGGCCCCGGGCTCGCCATTGACCTCCTCTGTGCCAAAGTAGCTGTATACCAGCCAGTTTTCAGACATTGTTGCGGTGATGGGTTTGGTGGTGTCGGCTCCCGCATGAATTGCTGAGTACAGGATTACGCCAGAGACTGATTCGAGGATGTAGATTGTGGCGGAAGAATGAGCAGGGTCGGTTGCGATGATTGTAATGAGGTTCTTGTTGATGTACTTGTACATGACTGAGCGGTCTCCGAGAACTTTTCCGATGGAGGCTATGGGGTCGTGGACCGGGCGGTTGATGACGGAATGTATCCTCTCAGTAGGTTGAGGAACAAAGTCCCACGTTTTCACCGTGGTCAAGGTGATGTTGTCCACCCGAAGGCCATTGAGGACTCCGGCATCACCCCGGACAACAATATAGGCGGGTTCTCCGAGAGCAGATCCTGGTGGCAGAACCGCGATCCTGTCTCCTTCCAGTACAACAATTATGACCTTGCTCTTTCCTCCCCTCATCAAGATGGTCGAACTCTTGACGCGACCGCCGACATCCTCCTTAGTCAAAACCTTCCCTTCAAAAGCGTCAACTTCCCAGTATTCACCTCCGCATGTAACAACCCCCAGAGTTCCCTTGGCGACTTCATATATATGCTGGACGCCTTGCCATTGGCCTGAGTCTTTACCGGATACGAGTGAGACTTCCCACACTATAAGACCCTTCCTTCCGACGTCCAGGGCAACAAGACCTCCCTCCTTTGTAGCGACGACGGCATACTTTCTGAACCCAAAGAAATCTCTCCATTTCCCACCCCTCTCCTCTCTTATTTCATTACCCAGGAAAGCATCCGTCACTCGTCCGGGAATGCCTGCAAGCCAATCAGGGCCATAGGTGACGAGTTCATGAGCATGCCTAGTAAGGCGGTGAACATAAGCCCCAATAACATTCTTGTGACCCTCGACATCGAGTTCCTCCGCGACCTCTTCAGCAGCAGGATCCAGGAGCTCCACCCAGGCAGACGTAGTAACGGAAACAAGAGATTCCGGTCTTGACCACATAGTCTTGCCATTGCGGATGAGGTGAGTGTTGGCGTGAAATCCAGGTGAGGACGTGGCGATGAATGTGCGAACGGCGTACTTCTTTTCCGTCTTGGGGATAACCTCCGAGATAGCGCTAAGGACAGAAACGTCTCCGTTGTTCTGAGAGTCGGAGGTGTATGAGTCCAGCACATCAGCGCATTTGCTCCCGTAAAGAAAGCATTCTCCATTGGGCAAAGTCCACGTAATGTAGGTCTCGCTTCCATATTCAGTGACGGAAAAAGCACTGCGAGCAGCTTTTGCGCCCAGTGAGTATAAGCTATCGACGGAGCCCTTCATCTGATCCACACCATAAACTTCAGCCCATGACTTGTCCTCGGTTTCATAATGTACGAGGAGAGTCTTGCCAGAAGCTTGAAACTTGATGTCGACGACACGCTCAGGAGCGGCGACAGAGACAGCGGAGGATTTAACACCAAGAACGAGAAACTTGATCTGACCCAAAGAGTTCTCTGTCCAAACCACAACTGAAGCCGAGCTATAAATCTTGTCTACGGGTTGGATGGAGGCTGAAATGCTGGACGACGAGAGTTTACCGGTTTCAGTGGGAATTGTTGCAATACGGAGCCCTTTCAAAGGTTGCTGATATAAAGCCATGACATTATTTCCCTGAACCAACAGTGATTGTGGAATGTCCCTGCCGTAGCGAGCAGAATAGCATTAGCCCGATACACGAGGACCATTGTGGAAAGGGGAGGAGGGCATACCCATCCACCGCCGGACTTTCCCAGACAATCTTCCCTCCAGAAACTTTAGCAACACTCCCATTCTCAAACAGAACAATAGCAATGCTTCCACCGATAACCTGCAAATCTTTAACCCTTTCTGAAGACGTCATCCCCCAAATAAGTTTCCCATCTATGGCATCAAACGCCTTGACATCTCCATCAACGGCGGCGATCACTGCCCCGTCGGCCTTACGGGCAACACCGAACGAAGTTCCACCTCCCAATAGATGTCTCCAGACAATCGATCCATCCCTCGGATTAATGGCCGCAAGAATGGACCTCGAGGTAAGAGTGTATATGAGGGAAGCTTTGGCGTCTGGGGCCGGTTGATGAAAGAAGGTGGAAGAAGGAATTGAGGCTCCAATGAGGGCAAGGTGCCAGTCGTTCTGGTAAGCCTCATCTTTGTAGACGGCACTAACGGCAGGCAATACAAGGAGCACACCCGTAAGAACTCGGCAGAATAAACGCATGGCGGAAGGGCAATACGAGTGGGAGAAATGAAATGGAAAAGTGACGGCGGGGGTTGAAAAAAGCCCTGGCAGGTTTCTAGTCCGGGCGGGAGAGGGATGATGATGGTGACAGTGTTGTCCCCATGGTGGAAGCGTAGCCCCGTGGAACCCCTTCTACTCGAATACCGGCACCAATTGTTCAAACCCTTGTGTAACGTTGGCCCCCAGTCCGGTCGGGCACTCTTGCCGGTATGACACTGGGGTTGGCGCCCACCTTTTCCTCCCTACTATGCCGATAGCAAACGATATCTTAGGTGTACGAGCAAAGTACTGTACTATACGGCGCAGTTGTGGGGAATTGAAGATCAAGCTCCCCGGTACTATCTACAGTGTTCGAAAGTATGATACCCCAAAACAAGATTCACAGATAAAAGTTGATACCCCCCCCAAAATTATGAAATCACGTGACACAGCCCTTTACAGCGATAATCGTGTCTTCTATGCCCTATGCCGGGATGGGAAACCCAGCAGATGCTCAAGCTCTCACTCGAAATGGCATTTTCACATCAATTCTAGCCTTTGACGGGGCATGAGGTTCTTCCGTTCCACATCACGCCTAACATTCCGACCGGTGTTGAGGACCGCAGCAAGGCTTCTCGAAAACATGGCCAACACGTGGAATGGGAGCAATTGTGGTGTACAAGTATGCCGCTCCACGCGTGAATGGAATACTAGTAAGGCGGCCAATTTCTCGAGACCGTCGCCCCTCTCATCTGTCTATAGATCCTGGCGAAAGGGACAGGCAGAGAGGAGTGGCATTTTGGTGTTGAGCTTTGGAACGGGTATGGCAGTTGGCAAGGGCGTGACAAATGTCGTCATAGTCCCTGGATTCCCAAGGCGCGTCACCCGAGCTGGCGGATATTCCCTCGATACTGTAACAGTACTCACCCAGAGCTCTAGGGCAAGCCATACGGCTCTAGCGGTAACGCTTCATAAGCCCCACGAAAGATGAGGGAGGAATGGGAAGAGACGGATATGGATATCACCACTTTTTCTATGGTATTTCTTCCAGGGCCGGGAGGAGGAAGGAACGTTGTGGGAGGAGAACGAGAGGGTCCAAAGGTGAGCATCTTTGTTCTCTGTGTATGTATGATACTCCCCCCACCACCAACCAACGGACGCTAAACCTTATCAAGACCATCAACAGGCTTAGCATTGCACTCAGGAGGAAATTTACGCTTTTTCCCGCCTCTTCACGTCTGGCAGCTTGGGTTGGCGCGCCCTGTCCTTTCTTCCACAAATTTTTTTTTTAATGGAAAGATAAAAAATTAAAATTAAAATAAATCATAATAATGACAATCCGCCCAAAATTTTATTAATATTTGCCCATTTCTTCATAATATGTAACTATATTTTTCCATAATGCCTTTTCCCAAGTCTCACCCTGCGATTCCAAAGCTCTCCCGCATCCTTTCTCTTCTCTCTTGAGGGATTCGAGACGTCGAGAGGGCTTCCCCTTCAACACCAAAGAAAGCTACTTGGACTTGCCCGAGTCCCAGCAACTCTTTACATCCTTATACCTGTTTATCCGCCGCTCGCTTCACATCATCTACTACCCTCACTTCCCTCCGTTCGTGTCTTCACTGGACCTTGCGCTTGTCGGCTTTCTTCTCTTCTCCCCGTCTCCGGGACACCTAGTAGCCTCACTCCTTCCACTCGCACCTTTCGACACCGGTTCTAGAAGCCAGGCGCCGCTTCCGTCGCCTCTTCTCTTCACTTGCTGTGTACCTAGCACTGCTATTGCAGTTGCTATCATACTTACTCACCTTGCCTTGACCTGCGCGGCTGCTTCCACTGCCAGGCCTGTCCCTCGTTTGGCTGCTGTGTGTGCTAATAACCTAACCTTCCGATACCCACCACCACCCACCCCCCCCCCTCCTCCATAAACACAAAGCTCCTTTCCTTCTTCGCGTTTCCAACTTTACCCTTCCATTGCCTACGCGACTAGCTCTATTGGTGTTTTTCTTCTCGCCTCGTACATTCCTGGCTCTGTCAACCGTCGCCCTCCCCTCCAGCTCTGCCTGTCGCCCTCCCCATCTACCAAGGTTTCCTTTAATTTGATCCACCCTTCTGTAGATGCGACCTCTTCCGTAGGATCCCCACAATGTCGCGCGCAGGCTATGCCGACTTCTTCCCTGCAGCCCCCTCGGTTCTGGCGGAGAAGGAGAAGAAGAGGGCACAGGCTGAGAAGCAGGATAGAAGGGGTCGCAATCTCCCTGATGATTATGATAGGGAATCTAATTCTATTTCCTTGTCCGATCTGGGCCGCATTCCCTCTAGCTCTTGTGCTCCAATTTCTGTCGGTGCTTCATTGCCTCCCGGGCATCTCGTCACAACATCGACTCTCACACCAACAACAACCAGCTCCTCGCCTCCTCCGCCATTACTTAGTCCGTCCGCTGGCACAGCTGCAAAGGGTGACCACCCTCCATCCAAATTGGCGGCTCAAACCAAAAGAACCAGGGAACCATATCCGCTACCACCGCCCCCCATTCCTCCTCCACCAGCTCCCCTGACACCGAAGGGCACGCCCCCAGCTATCAGGTCTGACCCTTCGCGGAGAAATTGGAAAGTCAAGTATGATCCATTCTTAGAGAAGAAAGGTATCCCAAAGCAGAGTAAGGATCCAATTTTGCGCTGGGATGGAGAAGGGGTATGTATTTACATCCCCCCTCCCTTCCCCCGCCCTGGTCTTGTGCTATTGTTGTGGTTGTCATCGCGCCTCACCGGTGGGGCTTGTATTCACTAACGCTTATAGATTGCGACCCCCGTGGCAGATCCCCGGTTAGAGGTTGAAGGGTACACCGATGGCTCAAAGACTGGCAAGAAAAGGCTTCGGTCGCAGGGACTCTATAGGACGAGATGGAAATGGGATGAGAACTATATCGGACCTGGTCCACCCTCCCAGATCTTGATTACGGGGCTATCCCCCCTCACTACAGAGACAGAAATCTCGATGCACTTTAGACCCCATGGGGACATTCAAACTTTGGAGATTCGGATTGATCCTGCAACCGGGGGCTCTTTAGGAATATGTTCCATCATTTATCGAGATAGCCCAAGGTCCAGGTCTCCGGCTCATGAGGCTGCAAAAAGAGCGGCACAGGGGGTTAACGGTTCAAGGGTCGGGATTCAACGAGTTCGGGTGGAGTTGGATAGGGATGGGCTCAAGTGTAAAAAACTGACCGGGAGAATACTTGAGGAGAGGCGGCGCAAGGAGGCGGAGGCGGAGAAGAATCGACTAAAACAGCCACTCAACGTAAGCTGCGGGGAATCAGGCTCGAGACCGCGCTCGCCAGGTGCCCATGGGAATTCGCCCTCCCGTCAAGACTCCCGGACGGATGGCAGGAGTGACGATCGGGGCAGCGATCGAAGCCGGGATCAGCGCCTTACCCCAGCGTTGAGGCCCGATAGCTGCAGGGCGCTCGACCATGTCGGAAGACTGCCCTATATATTCATCACTTCGCGGTGCATTCCTGGAGATGAGCGCTATGTTCGGCATCTTAACGGTCGGTTAAAAAACTTTGGCTTGAAGGACATCTTTTGGGATAGAACTGGGTTTTATGTTGTGTTCTGGGAACGACGGGATATGGAACGTTGTTTTAAAGTTTGCGATGGAGACAGGTTATTCTCCTATACAATGATAATGGAAAAGCACTCCGGCAACCATCGGTCACCATCTCCGCCCCCGGTGGCTCGACCTGAGCCAAGGAAAATGGGACCTGGTGAGCTTATTGTGGAGGCAACGAATGCCCTAATGAAGGATATGAAATTAATTTTGATGAAGGATCTGAGGAAACGCTTGGCTGCCCCAACGATTTACGACAGCCTTGAAGTGGGAAGGCTTAATAAGCGGCGTAAGGTGGAGGAGGAGGAAATGCAAGGAATTGCTGCCGGCAGTCGCCAAATTCTAGCTGTTTCTTTGGAAACAAGCATTCGCTCACCAACTACGCTCTTGCCTGCCTTGGCGCTCAAATCTACAGAAAAGCTGACACCAGCGGTAGCAAAGTCGGCTCTGCAAAAGCCGACTGCGCTTCCGCGGTTTAAGAAGCGGGTGTTGGCTAAGGCGGAGGATTCAAGCACACCGGAAGCGTCTCCATTACTGCACGGATCTAGGACGAAGCTCTCCAAGGCGGATGCCCGACCTTTGGCGCATCGATTGAACCAGTATAATTCCGACGCAGGATCAGATGATGAGTCAACCATTACTGAGAATAGGCCAGTTTCTCGGGGGTCTCGCGCCTTATCGCTGGATACTGGGGATGATGATTCTGTTAGTGCCACACCGTTAGCAAATGAAGGATATCGAAAACGGAAGAGAAGTGTTGGGCCAACTTCCAAGCTTCGGGGTACTGCTATTTCTACCGGTGGTGAGGATCAGGATCTTGGGAAAGATGATGGGTCACAGGGTTTGCATGATCTTAAGAAACCCCGAATCGACCACCCGGAGCCCTATGAGGATGGGGAGGTGTTTATGGAGGATGAAGTAGATGAGGAGCCTACTGTTACCACTCCGCATCGTACATCCGCTACCACCACTCAGCCAAAGCCGATTACAGAAAATAACTCTCGAGCCATGGAAAGTGATAGTGATGACTACGAGGATGAGATGGTGTTCACCAAGACAGCTCCCGAAAATGTACTAGACGACGAAGTCGATAGCAGAGATCTGGAGATTGAGATCCCCAACAGGACTGCCCAGTCGAGGGAGTCCCGTAAAAATATCAAGACTGCGGAATCCAGAACCAACCGGGGTCCCCTGGTGGTCCCGCCTTTCGAAGCCGGTGAAGAGGGACATGATAGTGAAATGTCCGGAATGGACATTGAAGTTTCATGGGGTGTTTCTACAACGGAGGGTCCAATGGTCACGGTTAGGGACGACCCAGATGCTATTCTTGATATTGATGGCTTGCAAAATCTCGTTAAGGACGCTGAAGACTACAAGTTTTTGAGTCAGGCCTTAGTAGCTGCGGAGCCGGCGGATTTGGGCAATGTTCAAGCTTGGGCCTATAAGGAAAAGCAACTGAAGGTCGCGCAAAACCAAAGTAAGTATCATTCGCTGAGCCTCTTACTATTGCTAGATTGTGCTAATATTTGCTGCAGGTATCGTCCGCAGCCAAGAGAAAATCGAGGGATTTTATCGTCCCAACCCTACGGGCTGTGCTCGCACTGAAGGCTATCGCCGTGTCCCCGAAGCCGAAAAATCAATGTATCTTCCTCATCGCCTCCAGCTTGCAGCAAAGGTCAAGTCGGCGGCAAATAGGATCCAAGAAGTTACTGTAGCCACCGCCACCAACACAGCAAAGAATCCTTCTTCAACCTCACGTATGAACCGTGTTAACAACCGTCGTCTCGTTGTTGGGTTGAACAACCAAAAGCAGATGCTATCCTCTGATGCTGACGTCATGCGCTTTAATCAGCTTAAGAAGCGCAAGAAACCTGTCAAATTCGCCCGCTCCGCTATTCATAATTGGGGTTTATACGCGATGGAGAACATCTCCTCTGGTGACATGATCATCGAGTACGTTGGCGAAATCATCAGACAGCAGGTAGCGGACATGAGAGAGAAGAAGTATCTCAAGAGCGGAATCGGCAGCTCCTATCTTTTCCGTATTGACGATACGACTGTTATCGACGCTACCAAGGCGGGTGGTATAGCGAGGTTCATCAACCATAGCTGTACACCCAATTGCACCGCGAAGATTATCAAGGTCGAGGGAAGCAAGAGAATAGTCATCTATGCGTTGAGGGATATCCGCGAAAGTATGTCGTCCCCCCCCCACAGACCCGATCTTCACCTCGTTGTTGTATGCATATATAATTAACCATTGGCCTACTAGACGAGGAACTCACGTACGACTACAAATTCGAGCGCGAGCTCGAGAGCGAAGAGAGGATCCCATGCCTTTGTGGATCAAGTGGTTGTAAAGGCTTCCTCAATTAGTGTTCTTCCTGTTCTTCATTACTTGATCTCCCTCCCCATCTCATCTAATAAATAAGTGCCATTCCTGTTATATCAACTGCTTTCGTTTCTCTTTTTCTGGGCTCTTTTTACACAATCACATTCTATTCATTCGGGCTTGGGTTGGGTTCCTGCAATTCCCTTTTTCTTCTTTTTTACTCTGTCCTTCCTTCTATCTTTACAGCAAGGTATGATACTTGATTGCTTGCCAAAGGGCTATTTAAAAAGTTTTCTTTGGGGGTTTGTTTTCTTTCTTTCTCATTTCTTTACCTTTATAGCTACTGTACTCACTGGCTTACCCCCCCCCCTTTTTTTTCTTTTCCTTTTTTTAAACGTCTTGTACCAATCTTCCTCCTCATCCCCCCCCTCTCCGTTTTTCATTGCTACTCATCGGCTTACTATACACAAATGCGGTTTGTGTTAGTGCATGGGTACTATCCCGGGCAGCGGTGGAGTCGGGATATAAGTTAGTATGGAGTTGCTGCCGCGAGGCATCTGGCGCGAGTCTGGTGAAATGTATCAAAAAAAAAAAAATCACGCGCGCACGCACGAGAAGTATAGAGGGAGTATGCGAGGGAGGAGGGGATGGAGGTTTCATGTACCATATTTCAACATACAGCATGTACTGTTGTTCATTCATGTCCAATTTGTTATTTGTTGTGGGCTTTAGTTTTACTTTATTCTATCTAGTGTTATGATTCGAATAGGATTGGTGGATAGGGTTGGGGGATAGGGCTGGGGAAGGAAGAGAGGGGGGAGGTGTAAATGTCGGAGGTTGAATTGAGTGTCCAAAGTTTTTTGCCAGCAGAGGTAGGATCCGGGAAAGAAGGGGAGGTGAGTTTTTGTTTCGTTCTGGCCATCATTACATAGAATTCATTAATTATACCCATCGTCATTTATCTATTCTCATACTATACATAGATATTAGTTATAGGTTCACGCCAAACAACCGGGACGGGAGAGAGATACCCAAATGTCCGGGCAATAAAAAATTCGCAATCCCCTGATGTATCGCATATTCATGCCGGCAATTCCCACACACCAATTTCCCCTCAACAACCTGCGTCTGCTCTCCCATCAGCCCCCGCCATCCTCCCATCCCTCACCCCCAAGGAACCAGCAAACCTCAATCAGTATCCGATGTAACTCCATCCCAACCTTCTCGTCCACCACAGCCGGCTTCTCCGCCGGCAAACTGGTAAAACCGAGCTCGGCCGCTGTGGTCAGGAGCGCGGACCAGTCCATCCGCGGTAGGATGTTCGAGATAAAGGCGGCGTTGAAGGGCGAAGAATCTTGTTGCAGCTCCGCGTCGCGAAAATGTAGGGGGAAGGAATTCGGATGGGATTTGCAGGCGCGGAGCGCGCAGGTTAGGTAGTTTGTTGTTAAGATTTTCATGGCGGTTGATAAGGGTCAGGGGAAGTGAGGGCGGTTTGTTGGAGGTGTAAACCGGAGGGACGAAGCAGGTGTGGTGAGAAGGTCTGGTGCGATGATGCCGCGGGAGGAAGGGGCTGGGCTCTACTTGGGTTGTATGGTGCCACTCGACGATCAACTTCTTCAGAAGTTGATGTTTCATTCCACCGGAAAAGGGAGTCTAGCAACAACTGTTAAATGTGCCGGGGGGCCATGCCGACTACGGTAGGTGATCACGCGTGCCAGTTGTGGCTTACCGTCACAACCCCTGGCTGCTCGCTTGCTGGCAACCTGGGGCACTCAGGGGGTGCCTGCCAGCTCAACATACTCGTAGGGTTGTGAAATTTACGTAAATTATTATATTATACTGTAATTTACAGAATATAATTTATACTTTACATATGAGTGTGGTTTTGTTAAAGTGACTCATCAAAAGTCTTGGTGATTTAGCCCGTTTCCCACCAAAACTGGGCAAAAACCCCTCTTTTCAATCACTTATAGTTTATTGGAATCATATGCTCCTTTTCCCATATTCTGGGGTCAAAGTTACTTTACCCACACAATACCTCAGAAATAATTTGAAGCCTTCTCAGTACGAACTGCAGGTGCTGCTAGCTTGTAAAGTTGTACCATCACCCAAAAGTTGTCATTATCATTGGTTTACTATGGAGATAGTTGCCATAGCAACCCATCATCACCAGGTAGTATCTTTGAGAAGCCACAGCATGGTGGGAACAGGCTAGTGAGATCTCTAATATGTTGGATGATACTGTCTACATACTTATATAACTACTTGGAAAATTTCTTGCCCCAGTTTTAGATAGGAGTTCATTCAGGGACCCCTCAAAATGACGGGTTTTGGTGTAAATGTGCCCAATCACCAAGACTTTTGATGAGTCACTTTAGAACCTCCACATGGGCTATTTTGGTTGTTACTGGGAAAACAGGTTTGAAGGGTGGCAACCTGAGAAAATCAATCTTGAGATAAACACTTTTTTCTTTTTCTCTATAGGAGAATCACTTCTCTTCTATAATAAAAAAGTTTAAAAATAAGGTAATTCAATTAAAAATTTATTTACTATGTAGAGTATATGGGTGCATTTAAGCGAAAAGGATAACAATTGCCAACAGCCACAAAACTGGATAAATGATCCTGGGGCTGGGGTATGTGGTAGAGTATCTTCCTAGCTTCTTGAAATATATTTAATTTTAAAATTTGAGCAATGGTGGGTCTGTAATGATTATTTTTGTAATTATGGCAAAATATTTTGTTTACATAGAATGATAGCTGACCTCAAGATCTACCTGCCTGCAAGTTTTGAAATATTTTTAAGAATACAATCTGTTGTTATTAAAAAGTATAGTAAAATATCAATTCATGTTGCATACTTTCCAGATATTATTAACCTGTTGTAAGACAAGAAAATGCAAGTATAAAGCAGTAGATCCAAGGTAATAATTCTATTAATTCTGCTTACTCAGCTATTATATCTTTTCTTAATGTATATTAATTTTGAATTCTTAATTAAAATTCAAAATCTCTTACATAGAATTATAGAAACAACAATAAGTATCATCTATCTTTTATTTTTATACTATTTAATTTATTGGTTGTTGAGTTGTTTTAATTTCTTTGTTAAAACAAGTTTTTCCCTTTTTCTCAAGAAGGCTTTGGTTGTTATGCAAACTAAAAGTGAGTATAACTCAAAATACCTAAAAAGCGATTGTACTCTTTTTCCCATAACAATACTCATATATCTATGATTTAAAATTTGTGAAAATATATTATTTACATAGATTTTCTACAATGTTTATTCTTGGATTCCCAAGGTCAATGTCTTTTATATTTTCTTCAAGTTGTTTTTGGCAATCACTCCTTAATTAATAGACCTTTTCTTAGCTGCTCAATTATCTAGCATACTTATGACTATACCTTGGAACTTGTGGCAAGAATATTATTCTTATCAGAATAGGTACTTACATCTTCATAGAGTCTTTTATTGCCTGAACTTGATGTCAATATTATAAAAGGTACTGTATTATGGATTTATAATTCATCAATCTGGTACTTCTTTATATTAAATATTTGCTAATTACTAAAAGGGAATTGCTATAAGTTATCTACCATAGATTTGGTAGTATTATTAAATTTTGTTACTTATGTCATAAGGATTTATAATGTCCGTTATATAATATAATTCAACAAAAAAACAATCTTTACTTGAACTACTCATGTTATATCTATATGACCTCTTGATTTGAAACCAGGTTCTATAGATAGCCAGAAAGCTCTAGTATTTTTCTATGAAAAACAACTTTTAAGATATTTTATGTTTTTGTACATAAGACAGGCTACAGAGGTCATTAGAGGTAGAATTTTTTTTTCTGAGCTATTTAGAGTATGCTCTAGAAGGCTATCTATCTGGCTATACTAAAATAAATTTTTTGTTGTTGGAGGCCAATGTGTAGGTTCTAACAAAACCATACTCATAATATGATAGTCATACTTATACCAGAAACTACCCTATCAGGTGTCACGGCCACCCTGCGTGCGGAACGTGGAGGAACATTGGACTTTTGGTTGCATATATCGGCTGTGGTTCCTTTGGTTACGTTGTAGGATTTCCTTTGTGTTATGATTGGAATAGGTTACCACGCGACGGAACCTGGCGGAACATGACGGAAAGATTGGGGCTGCGCGCGACGCCAAGGACTTTCTTTTGTATTAGTGATCATGGAGGATTTCCTATCTATATAAGGGGGTGTGCCCCCTTATATTTTATGTTTCTTTACGCAATCTGGTAATCTCCTTCGGACACCCTTTCTTCCTCGCCCGCGGGCCTGGTTGCCTTCTTTGCTAAGAGGCTTCCCACGGGAATAACCTCTGGCTCTTTGATGGTTTCGATCATCGCTTTACAGTTGGACCTTCGTTTTGGTAAAAC